CCCTTAATAAAATTACTTTCAATACCTTTTGTATACTTGATATACAGAATGTCATCTTTCAACAATCTACGCTTCAAACTCTGCAGTCTACTGCTTGCCACTTCATAATTCCCCCCTTTCATATTTGGGTTCACTTTCCATGGTATAGGAACTACAAAATGACCATTTTCGAAGCGTGTGCCCTCTTCCACAATCCTTATAGCCGCCTTATCTTCTAGCGATGCTGATTTATCATTTGAATAAACATCAGAAAACTCTACATCATAAAGTTTACGTATTTCGTTCTCCAAGGTCTGTATCTTACTGGTATGATTGACCACTCTTTTCCTATATTCCGGATACGATGCAGGTCCGAAGACCGTCCAACCCAGCAACGTCTTCACAGCGTACGGGCTTTTTCTCCCACCCAACCGCTGGTCTAACACCCAGTGTGCTTCTGGTACGTCGCAACCAATCAACAGCAGAACTTCTTCAGAGTCTAAGTTAACTATCGGTACATCCCTTAAATGTGGCCACTTAACTAGGCTGTTCACTGCCGACTTTGTTGGCTTATGACCTGGTATACCTGCCACAATCAGAGCTCCTTCAATCGTAACATGTTCAGCTCGATCTAAAGAATATACCTCAAAAGGCGCACTCGTGACCTTCATTGTTCTATTACCGCCCACAGTCTCAACTACCACTGATGCTTCGTCTTCGCTCAGCCCGAGAGACCTCAAACAGTTTGATTTTATCAGTGTCACATCAGAACCGTTGTCCAACAGAGCATAACCCACAATCTCGGCTTTTCGCGATTTCAACCGTACGGGAATCATGCCTAAACACACTTGACTGATTAGTGATTTAGTATATCCGCAACAACTCGAGATACCAGATTTCTCACTCTCGCTGTGCAACAAAGAATGGTGTTTCTTTTCACAACCCTCAACGTTACAGCGCTTTGTCAGCTTACATTCATTAACTCTATGTCCTTGTCTAAGACAGGCGAAGCAGATACCCCTGCTTTTAGCGTGAGACCATCGGTCTTGAACTGTAAGCGCTAAGAACTGTGGACATTTATCAATAGCATGGTCGTAGGAACACATACTGCATTTAGTTTTTGTTGTCGAACTATTCCCTTGCTCTGATTGCACGTGACAGTTCGTCCTTACGTTATGTCCTTTTCTTGAACGGTTTGCTAACCGTCCAAATCTACTACAAGCCACTCTCGCACGCGATGCGATAAACCGAGTGAGCTCGTCGAAGGTCGGTTCCCTGTTATCTTCAGTCAATTTATCCACCCAGTCCGCCCACTGGGCTTGCATAGGTTGAGGCAAGAGTCTCACTATTCTTTCCAAGGTAACTAAGGAATTTAGATCAGAAGTATAATTCATTTGTTCCAAGACCATGGCACAGTTTTCCATCTTAATAGCCAAATTTGATAGTTGGTCCCCGTCAATATACTCAAAATTCACAGCACTGAATAAGTCCTCTAGTGTTTCTCGAGCAATTACGTAAGACTGTCCGAAAAAACGTTTTAAAATCTCCCTTGCTCTTTTATAGCCAGAGGATGCCTCCATCATGACGCAACCTTCAATAGCTGTTTTAGCCTTGCCCTTACAGTAGTGTATCAAATAGAGTAAGCGCTGGCTATCATCCGTGACTCTTGACGCTACATACGTCTCAAATTGCCTTATAAATTTCCAATAACCTCTTGGCTCTCCATCGAAATAACTCAGTTCAACCTTTGGTAGCTCTGGGCCAACAACGTGGACTATAGGCGACATGCTCTTTCCTAGTAATTCAGGCCTTTGCTCCTCCTTTAAACTAAGATTTTTTACATCATCTGACATCAAATTAAGACTAGAATCACTGCCCTGATAATGAACCCTATTTAAGTCTGAACCATGACCCTTAAGGACGTCAAAAGGCACTTGCTTGACAATAGGGGATTCTTCGTTAACATCGACGAACTTTGAGCCTGATCTCCTTCGACGATTAACTGGCATTATAAACGAAACGACCAATTATTTCCAGAAAATCCGTGAACGATTACCAGAGAATTTCGGCCAAGTTATATTTGTTTAGAACTGTAGGATCCAAACTACGCTTTGGATGTTGAAGAATAGCCGATAGGGGGTTTTAGACACGCGCCCTTTCCCGTCGAAATCAGAACAAGTAATCGGGTAACTAGCGGTTAAAAAAAAAAAAAAAAAAAAAAAAAAAAAAAACTAAACAAATATTATCACCCGGCTATTCAACCAATGATTGTTCAATCAATTAAATCAATCACAACAAATCAACGTTATTCTATCCTGGCTGGATAGATCACACACAACAGGAGGAACAAATCAATATGGCTACCGCCAAGAACAAGTGTCAAGTAAAACAACGCAGATGCAGTTCAGGAAGAAACACAAACTTAGTGAATGCGTAATAAAAACAAAAACTATAACAAAAATACAAATATTAACAATTCAAATGTAATCAAAATACAACAATGTACAACTAATGCGATCAATAGGAATAAAGTACAAGTATATACATGGAGGGATTTTCACAAACACACAAGGCATTCAAAATGGATCTTACACTAGGTTCCAAATAATTAAACTAGGAACGCGTTTATACTCTTTGAAAGTCGTCTTTACGGATTTCGACCGTGATTTCAGACTTCGCTTGTTAAACTCTGGCACATTACCGCTGGTTTCTCTTGTAGTATAGTCGTGGAAGTCGAGCGAATGACTCATGTTAATGTTTGATCAGGCCAAACTTCTCCCATCTACGTTAGGGTTAAATATTGTCGTACCTCGAAACTTTGGCGGAGTAATCTGTGATGCGGAATGTGAGTCTATCAAAGGTTTTTCGACTAGACGGGCGCTATTTTTGGCTATCTTCTCTTCTGTGTTTCCGCGTCATCCATTTCCCATCAGTTGTAGCATCCACTTTAGAACTACTCTGGAAGATGATGGTTTTGTCTGGGTCGTTTGTCGCTGCTGTAGCAAATTGTGCATCGCTATCTAATGATGTATAACTCGTCAATTATTTCGAGATAGAAAATCCTGTTACGTGTTTCACAGTCGGGTGTCTGGCAAGTGGCGCAACAGCACTTACAACACTGTCATATTCTTCGCTATCAGTACCCCTGTTACCGATACAGGCCTCGTAAACCTTTTCATCACCTAACACCAGATGGCTAATTGTCTATTGGATGAATAATGTTTTGTTCGAACAGCAGAACATAAAAAACCAATATAAGTTAAGCTTTGAGCAGTGGAATTTAAGCTGGTACGCATCATATAGAACCACTTCCTCGACTCAGCACATTGCATCCCTTCTTTCTCACGGAATAATCATTATGGCTGCCCACTTTTATGAACAGAGCCGACCATCTTAAAAGTTACCTAAAAATGGCAACACAAAAATGGATACGTAAAAAGTTCCAAACCTTAACCAAACAAGTCAAGTCAAAGTCGACCAAGTATGGTTTAATGCAACAAATACACATACAACAAATATACATAGTAAGTCCTGTCTTCAAAACAGGTACGAAACATAAACCTGAGAATTACCAACCCGTGAGCCTAACTATTGTGGTTGTTAAAATCTTAGGAAAGATTATTCAGAAGGAGCTATTTAAGTACCTCGATGAAAACCGGATCCTTTCGGAGAGGCAACATGGTTTTAGAATAGGTTGTTCTTGTCTCACTAATTTATTAGTCGCTCGTGAAAGCTGGTGCGCTCTTAAGGACCAAAAGTTACCTGTAGACGTAGCCTTCGTAGATTTCAGCAAAGCTTTTGACAAAGTTCCGCACAACCGGCTGTTACATAAGTTAAGAAATGTCGGGATTGAAGGCAATCTATTGATGTGGATAAAGGACTTCTTAGTTGGGCGTCAACAGAGAGTAAGTGTGAACTCAAAGTTATCTAGCTGGGGAACTGTGCTTAGTGGAGTGCCCCAAGGTACAGTTTTTTAAGGCCAGCGCTATTCCTCTTGTACGTAAATGACCCTCCTCGTCTAATATCATCATCGATCTTGCTATCTGCTGAGGAGGTCAAAATATGGAGAACGATACGAAGTAAGGGTGATAGCTTAGAACTCCAAAATGACCTGAAGAAATTATCTGAATGGTCTCAAACCTGGCAGTTGCTAATAAATACTTCCAAGTGTATTGTGATGCATATCGGTCATTAAGGTACAGATATATACACGATGAATAAAACTGAGCTATCTGTTGTCCAGACACGCAATGACTTAGGAGTCATGGTTAGCCAAGACTTAAAGACTACTGCACACTGCCGTGCAATAGCCGCCAAAGGTTTTAGAAATTTATGGTCAATACGAAGGGCTTCTAGTCACGTCGAAGCCAAAACGTTTTTGACTTTGTATATAGTGTTCGTACGCCCTAAAAGTGAGTGCTACATACAAGCGACTGGCCTCTGCTTAAAAAAAGACAGTGAACTTTTGGAAAAGGTTCAGAGAACAGCAACTAGGCTGATTCCCGGAATAACGAATCTCCCGTATGATACTTGACTGGCCAGGCGAAACCTATTGCCGTTGTCATATCGTAAAACTAGAGACGGCTCGATCACAGTTTTAAAATTGCTTAGTGATAAATTTGCACCTGATATGTCCCCATTTTTCTTGTCTCCCGAAGCATAGAATTTACGAGGACACTCCAAAATACTTCACAAGCCCAGGACAAATTACTTGCCAGCTGACATCAACTTTCCAATCGAATCATCAACGAGTGCAATTCATTACCTCAGCACGTCGTTGAGGCTCTATCCGTCGACTCTTTCAAAAGAAAGTTGGATCAGCTGAGAGACCACCATTTCCAGGACTAACACAGACCAACAAGCCTCCTGTCCTTTCGAAACTGAAATTTATCATCATAGATTTGTCCTGTACCATGGATCGTTATCATGGGACCACTTTTGTTACTTTAAGAATGAATGTTACCGGACATAGTGTGGCTGAACTCAAATGTCTTGATTTAACCGCTTCTGCAAAACCATACGGACTGTCGAGGTGACGCACCAATCGTTTTACGACACTTTGACCTTCAAATGCTCAGTAACCTCCACCGGTGGACGATAACAGTGAAGCGTTGCCTTACTTGATTTACTAACAGTGGCTTTCATTTTATGTCCACCTTTATCCTACAGGTGTTCCAATGAAGGTGAGATATTGTTTTAGACTGGGATAAAAATTCTGAAGGTGCGTGTGATTTACGACTTTGTTGCTCAATGGAGTGGTGAATTAACTGTTTGTACTGGAGAGGAACTCACAATCACAAATCAAAATGTCGGATCAGGGTGGTGGCAAGCAGTCAATGCGTTTGGAAAAGAAGGTCTCATTCCATCAGAATTTGTTGAAATTATTGAGTTACCAGAACCACCAGTACCACCTCCTCCTTTACCTGCTACTGAATTTGGGAAGGAGATCGATCGTTGTGATGAATGGGATGATGAGTGGGATAGTGATGAAAATGATATTCCCAGTTCGGTATGTTGATTATTTGATGTTTCGTCAGCATTCCATAAGCATAAGTTAGCGAATCGTTAAAAGCCGAGGATGTCAAGTTATTTAGCTAACTTTTCATATCATTCACTGTCATATGCTTAGGTTTTTTGTTATGTATAACTCGTAGTTTTAATATACCAAGCCAGCAGACGAGGTAGTATTTCCTTTTAGTGGGTAAATTTTCCAGAAAGACGTACCTTAACGTAAAATAGCCTGCCATACCCAACATTACACGTTTGATTCGTAAAGGGTCTGATACACAGAGTAGACCAATCTCCAAGGCGGATAAGTGATTGTATGAACCATTTATTTAGGTCCCTGCCTCATATTTCGAGTTGAGGGCGTTACAAATCAGAGACCATGTATGAGATAACACCTACTGTAAAAATGTGTAATAATGCTTATGGAGTTTTTGTGTCATGAAAGGTACACAAATTAGGTGCCTTTCCCAATGTTGCTTTTCTTGCTTAGGCTATCGGAATCAATTTAAATCACGCTTTTGCTCTTTACGTGTAGAACAAAAATCCGAATGACCGATATCAACAGCCAGTTGAATGCAGTACATCGCAAACCGGAGGCAAGCAGACGGACCCCTTACTGTCTGCGTCTAATAATGTTGATTACGTACGCAACACACTTATACGAAAGTTTTTCCACAGGTTAGTTCCAACTTTTCAATGTACTTCCATTTGATCATGTACTGACTCAATGTCTCTATACAAATTTTGAAGATAATTCATGTTAATTAAATTTAGAATCAAGATCTTTATCACCCAAAAGTTTTAGCCGAGCAAAGTCATTACGAATATCTTCAAGGTCACTAGTCTTTGGTATGCAGTTTGGAAGAATGAGGGGTTTGCATTTAAAGTCCGTGAGTGAGTGGGATAGATGATCCTAATGAAATCCGTGTACTCATTTTTGAGCTACACTTTTGTGTGCGTGCTAGTAAAATAATCTGTACATCGAAACCAAACTAGATGGAATGTGGCTCAAACATATGACCCATTGGTTGAAAACCAATTACCTCAACCACATTCAGTTACCCATTAATAATTTTCTAAACCAACAATATATATTGAGTAAAGTTGACAGATTGTCGTCCTTCACTAACCTTGCTTTTTAATGCTCTTGTTAGATATATGGTAATTTAGCGGCGTCTACTGAACTGATATATGGTCGGGAAGTGATCGCGTCTGGCTTTGAACACGAGGAGCGGAGGCAGTTTAAAAGTAGGCTGGTAGAACGCGTGCGCAATGACCGTTTGCAGTTGTGGGTAGTGAAAGCAGAAGAGATGGAAAGGGCAGTAGCGATAGGTGATAGCAGACAACTGTTCAGATCTAGCAAGGAAACGGGTATTAAAAATCTGGCTGTTAGTATGGTTATAGTTCACTCTCGATCCAGGAGACTAAATCGATAGATAGAAATTTTGGGGAACAGTTCAAGTGGCCTTCAGCCACACTTTAGTGACCCACGTTCTCCAAGCAACCTAAATGGCGAATCGACACAAGTCCTCCAACTATAAGTTAGGTTGAAAAGGCTATAAGTAACCTAAAGCGAGGAAGAACAGGAGGCTCAGATGGAGTAGTCCCTGAAAGCTTTGAGGATGGTGGTCCAGTTTTGGCAGTTAGTGACAGATCTTAGCTAGAATCTTAGATCTGAATGTAATCCCATTTGACTGATCATCCCAGCCCGTACAAGACGACACAATTCCTGGTGTAATAATCATAAAGGAACCAATCCGACTAGCATGGTATCTAAAATAACCTCAGCAATACTCGAATATTTAATTAATGCTCGTGAAGAGCGAGTTCGAGAAATCGATTCTGGTTTCAGACCTGGGCATGAGTCTATCGATCAAATATTCACCCTTCTCTAGGTCCTGGAAATTAGACATACTTTCCGACATCCGACTATAGTTGTATTCCTTGACCTTAAAGGACCAATTAACTCTGCTGGTCGTAAGATTTGGCAGCTGTCTGCTATTGGATGACTTACCAAAAAAGTACGTCAACACTGTACAGGCTCTCTACTCGAACATTACTGCTTGGGTCAGAATTTATAGCGAACTGTCATTGGAATTGCTTATTTCAAGTGGCGTTAGTCAGGGTTGTCCGCTTTCCTCATTCTTATTTGACTTTGTCATAGATATGGTTCTAGAGACAACACTTTCATCGTCTGACTTTTCAGGTGTTGATCTCCCACTAGGAAATTCAATTGTTGACTTGGAATACGCAGATGATGTAGTTCTGTTTGATGATGCTGACGAAATGCAGTCTTTAGACCACTTTAATGAACAATGCAAACATGTTTGAGATACGATTCTCTCCCTCCAAATGTAAGGTGTTGCTTCGGAACTTTTCTGGGTCATCGAACTGAATTAATGATAAGGAGTGAGGTATCTGAACGTGTCTATAGCTTCGGTTACCTGGAGAGTCATCAGTCCTGATAGTCTGGTGGTGTCCGACAAAACTTCGGCACGGATTCAGAAGTCTCGACTGGCTTTTGCCAACTTGCATCATTTATGGGATAGGCGAGATATCTGTCTTTCAATCAAAGAACGAGTTTACTGCTCAGAAATTTGCTGCGTCCTACTTTATGGGTTTGAGACATGGTAATTTAGAATAGAGAATATTCGTAGATCACTAGTATTCGATCATGAATGTCTTCGAAGCATCACTCGTGTAATTTGGGACCGAGTAAGCGATGTCGAGGTTAGGATTAGGGAACTAGGTAAGTATGGGAAATCAATCAATGGGGTAGTAAACCTTCATCAACTGAGATAGTTGGGACATATGTCGCGTTTGCTTACTGAACGCCTATCTCCACGGGCTATGTTTTCTAGTGTAGGAGTAGGCTGTTAGGAAGTTAGGGGTGACCAAACCAAAACATAACATCAGTCCATGAAGTCAGTGGCAACTGGATTGGGCCACGTTAATAGCTGTAGACTACCTGGTTTGGATCCACGTGATATTCGTAAACAGCACATTATGACAGTCCAGTTTGTGCATCATTTTTTGCATTTGTTTCACGCATTCACCAATCAATTCTTTGGTTATCGACTTAAATGCCAACGTATTTTTTAAATACTGTAATAATTTCTCAGTGAAACTCACGGTTCAATTGACCGGACAAATTGTACTGTCATATATTATATATCAGTGAGTTTTAGCTAAGATTGAGTTAGATGATTCTATCTGAATTAAAAATGTGTTCATTTTGATGTACTGAGTCTTTGCATTATAACAATAAATTCATATAAAAGCTGTTGTATTTTTTCTCATTTTCATTTTAACATTTCTTTGATCTCATCATAGATCATTCATCCGTAATGGTTGTGAAGATTTTTTGTTGGGTCTCGATCCACCACCTTTTCCTCAAACCGAAGCTAATATCGATGTCAGTTGATAAGTAATGTAGCTATTTTCCAATTTGTTTTTGTGCTTTCTAAAAAATAGACTTCCAAACTTAGTTTGCATTTTCAAATTCAGTGTCAAAATGTAAGATGTAAGGGTATCTTGATAGTATCAAATTGGGTGATATATGTCATTTGGTGTTGTATACATGCCCAGAATTTGTTTGTTATAGTGTAGAAAATCAGAAACCATCTAGTAATCAAGAATTTCAAAGTTGGTTCTCATGACTGAGTTGTTAAATGTTAACATGCTTGCTACATGGCTGATAAATCCCCGAGTACAGGGTGTGTAAATTTTCTAGGTATTCTCAATTAATATACAACATCTATCTAGTTTTTAATAGATTTCTGTGATATATTGATTTTCTATCATTTAAATTACACTGAATCTAGCTAGACCATCATTGAAAAACCGTAATCACTGGACGGCCATTCCAACTTAGTATGGGACTCCTTAACAATGTGCACCCACGGTCTCACTACAGAAGATCAAACACAGGACCTTAATTCTTGCTCGTGAAAGCAACATCTCTAGGTCATTGAGCCAACATCCAGTGGTGTTAATGTTTGTCTAGCTCCAATCACTTCATGACATTCCGCAACCACCTTCCATTACCTACAGTTGATAGGTGTCTTACACACGACATGATTGAACTACACTGGTCGATGCGTCTCTAGGATTACTTGAGTTTCATCGAGAATGTAGTCACTGGCGAGCACATGGTTGTCGTTAGTGTAGGGGAATTCATGGGCGTGTAGAATTTTTTATAGTTTGAATCGCAAACTTTTCTTGACTAGACCTCCATTAGAAACTTTGAAGTACTGAATGTCAGTTTCGTCCTAGTATTTTACTCTTTAGGACCGGGATTTGTGGAGAAAACTTACAGGTCACAACTCAGTTATAATTCTAACCATAGACATTCCTAACTATTATCACATTTCAAGATTCATTCATATTATGGTGAAACCGTTCATTCATAGTTTCTACTATACTGTTAACTGTTTTATGCTTATAAAATGTACCTGCTAAATTAAGAACGCTGACAATCAACAATATAAATTTAGGAAAAAGTATAGGAAACACTAATTGTAATAGTGAAAATATTTCTGTGTATTTTTATCCTCATAAACTGTTTAAGTCTATGATGTATGTAACTATGACTTATTAATTGAACTAGTTGTTACATGCTTAGCTACGTAGGTCATTACATTCGATGTCCGTTAATTTAGAACTGGAGTACAAACGATTGCAAGTTGGTTAGATCAGAACATGACATGCAAACATTTGTGCGTTATTTATCTCTTTCATAGATTGTAAACATACCGCCGTTGGTCACATAAACTTGTTTTCATTTTATAGGTTTAGTTGTCCGTGACATTTGAAGTGCTGTTAATAATTCAGAGCTTAATATGTTTATAAAGTAAAAAACTAGCTCTCGTAACTTACTGAGATTTTATATTGATAAGTTGAACCGACATGTCAGTTTAATACGTTTTACGCTGTATAATATTTGTCTATTCTAGCCATTGAAAGTTACATCGCCTGATTGTTTTAGCATTGTTTTCTTTAGAAAAATGATACAAATGCACCACTGTCTTTTTTGGTAAATTTATGGTGGAAGTGAGGCGGTTATCACCAGCGAAATAGAATAATCTTATTTTACGAACTCAATAAAGTCAGGAATATCAACTTTGTAGATTCCAAGTCAGTGGTCTAAAGTTACCTCGTTCACCACTACAGCAGATAGTCCCGAGTCCGAACGTATGTGGCGCCTTTCATTGTACACACTATTGATGAATCACAAGACATAGTCAAACATCTGTTTACTGCACCTTGGATTCTAATAGTTCTCTATCTAATGTCAGTTCGTGTTAGGGAACTAATTTCCGATTTTGTAACCTTTAAAACCCTTTTACCATTAAACTTGATGGATTAAATTTTACAATTTTATTGCGTATGTTTCGTTAAGAATATATAAATTCTTATGCTAAATTTTCAGTAAACATTTAGCATTAAGTTTTCATCATCCACAAAAAAGTAATTCAAATTTAGGTTTCTGAATTGATGTTATTTGATTAGATTTGGTGCATGGTGTTCACATAAGAGATGAAAACCAACAGTAGCTAACCGTTTTTTATAGATTGAAATAAAATATATTGCGTATTTTACTTCTGTCTAATTATCTGGTTTCATTTATTTTACCCTCATTTCATTTACTGCTGCTGCTTTTCTACTGTAGTATGTAGATGATTCTTTCCAATGGCGTCACTTGTCAAGAGATCTCACTAGCTGTATTTCATCGTTTCGTAAAGATTCAAAAATGAAGGGGATCAAAAGTTTTATCGCTTATCAAATAACTAATTCAGTAGGCTTTTTGATTATTTCTTATTTATCATATATATATATATATATATATATATATATATATATATCAAAAGAATAACTTTGTTGAATACATTGATTTACACTTGATTATGCTTAGTTTCCTTATCTAGGTTATATTTTTATGGTTTGCTTATAATTTTGAAATGATCAGGTCAGAGACATTAAATATGTAACCTAATCTCGAGCTCCGAAATTATGGAACTAACTTGTACAACTTCATGTAGTTAGTTTAGCTTTTCATACAATTTTGTACATGGAGTATCTGGATCACACTTATTTTTTAATGGTTCCAACTCTCGGAAATGAAACTTTTCACATTGTAATCAAACAGAGGCGAGTGTGACTTTCGACAGTATAAAGTTCTGATTGTTGTATTTTCTAACCAGACTTAAGTTGAAGTACTTCACTTGGTCCATTTACAACCATTCAGCTCTAGTGGAGGAATCGGAAAAGTGTTAGAACATTCTCATGTAGACTATGTACAATCTTGAATGTTTTCACTAATTGTATCTCCTTTGTTGTTTGGATTATCATAATACATATATTTTGTTCCCTCTTAGATCTTGGTCAGATATGGTAAGACTGGAGGGAAGTATTGTGTCCAAGAAATAATAAACATTGGAAAAACATAACAATGTGCTTGGAAAATTTTATTTTAGTCTTAGCATCTTGTCTAATCGCGGATTCATCCTCTATAAAAATATTAAATCATATTAGATTTCAGGAAGCTGACTCTCCCTTTGTAGTTCCAATCTTCTTCATGCGGCTTCATAACTTAAGACTACTGCTACTTGACTAACTAGCATGAAGCTTACGCCAGAAAGTGTTTACTGCAGACTCATTCCAACAATAACATACTGCACATGATATCAAGTCACACTAGTGGCCACATTTCCTAGCATTATCTATAGAATTCGATCATCACAAAGGGACTAGTGAACTATCACGAAACTAGTCACTACCCACTCATTGATCAGTTAATTGTCAACGGGCGTCACTCAGAAGTATAGCTCAAAGTTGGGTACGTACTTCCCTATTCTTGATAAACAAGTTGCCTTGAGCTACCTGACTGACCAAACTGAATTAGTTGAGATGAGGTTTGCATCCAGAATCTTAGTTGTAAACCGAGTGGCTTAATCACTAAACCATAAAGTTTTATATGCACTAATATTTTTATCGCTTACGTGTGCGTTAATTCACACTTATTAAATAATGAGAAACGAATGGATAACCTCACACAGGAATAAGAGGAAAGACTGTTTGATTAATTACCCGAATTATGTATATAACTGTTTAATTAATAAATGACGCGAAAAGTGAAAGTGTGTAGGATAAAGCTGTGAAGTATAAGAGCGGATTAGTCAGTTTTAAGAACGCGATTTCGATATCATAGCTTTAAATTCAAACAAGAATGTTGACTGTTGATCGAATGCTTTTTAATCTTGACGGTAATATAATAAAAACCATTTTATATTGTTTTAATCGAGAAATAAAGCCACTAGGATTTAAACATAAACGTGATCAAGTTATATTTCGATACCGCTTTTGTATCGTTTTCAGAAATCTAAAAGAGGCTGACTCATTCTTCACTCTCTCCAAAATCACTTATATAAATAAAACATTTAGTCATAAACCGGATTATGTGAATCCCAGTAACCAGTACAATTATCTTTACAGAGGTACGTGAATTAACAGGATCTTTGAGGTTTAGGAAATGGTCATTGGAAGGTTAAAAAAATGGTAGATTTCCACATTAGATATCTCCATAAATAACACTTCGAAGAGTATACCAGATAGACTAGCTTCAACCTTGCTTCCTAACTTTATGAAAAACGTCGGGTCAAGGAAAAAAAGACAACTATGGAGTGTATAACTGCCTTCTGGGATTTAAATACGACCATCACGTTTTTGTTTTTGTTCAAAAGCTCATCAATTTGTGGACCATTTTACAGGGTTACATGTGAATAATCTCACGATGATTTGATCGCGCCTGACGAATTATCTCCTTATAAATATCGACAAAGAAAACCTATTTTCTTCTGACGTTCGGTTTTGTACAAGACACTTGTATAGGTGTAAGGCAAAACGGGGAGTTGTTATTCTTTGTCCGATTGTATTACAATCCTGTCGTTATTATCATGTTAATTTTGTCAGTTACATTGTTCAATAGTTTGGAATGATAAGTAAGATGTATGTCAAGGGAATGCTGTTGAGATCGAAATAGATTATTCCGATGCGTTTCGCTAACATCAGATTCGTAAGCTGTACCTAATAAATGTAGATTAGTTGTTGCTTCTTGACATGGTTTAATGGGCAGTAGTTCACTCTGTTCTACTTTATGGATATGAAACATAACCGTTATGGAAACAGGATACTTTTAGTTTACTAGTATTCGATCGTGAACGTCTTCTAAGGGTTCCTCGTAGATATTGGGACCATGTTTTGTACACATTATTTTATTTTTCTACAAACTGTTTGTTCTGATTAGGGCTGAATAATTACTGAGTTGTGAATGATTTGTTTAATTAATGTGTAGATTTTCTACTTTTTTTGTCTACATGTGTTTTTAAAAAAAACAGGTTACTCAAACTCAAGTCAGTAGAAGATATAAACATTTTGATTGGCTTCATTCACGTTTATTATCAAAATATCCATGTATTTGTATTCCACCATTACCGGAGAAGGCAATCACAGGTAATATATAACTATTACAAACTTGTTGAATGTTCGGTTAACTGCTTTATTTGTATACTTTAGTTAACGGTTAGAGAATCATACTCAGAACATGAGGTTTGTCAGAATCGGTTTATCTATTGGTATTAAAACACCTCACCCTTCGTATTTTTAACATCAGTCAAATGATAAGGTTTTCCAACTCATCGTCCACATTTTTGTTACAGTACAACAGTTGCAGATATTGTGATATATTACTCTATTGATATTCAGGAGACTAAAGTTGAATAATTTACTTCATTGTGTATTTTTACCATATAGATTGGAGGATGTTTTTTTATGAAATTAATCAAATCTCTTGATCATATGTGTCACAGTAATAGCACATAAATAAACTACTTTTCTTGGTAGTTTTCTCTAAATACACTTGTTATTTGCTTTATAACACTACTTAGAATTGTTAAACCAACACATTTGAGTAAAAAATACGAGCCCGGGTAAGCTAAAACAAGCTACTGATGATTGACAAATAAGCTAAGTATTTCATGCACATAATCCCCTTCATCATTTTTCAGAGAGCAAAATCAAAAACTTCAACAGAATATTGTGAACTCATTTAATTGGTTTAGTTCTCTTTAAGCTGTAATATTTAAAAATCGTAGTGATGAATTGGGTTCAAATTATATATATATATATATATATATATATATATATATATATATATATATATATATATATATATTGATGTAATTGATGTAATCATTACCATGACAAGGATTTGGAATGATGACATCGGCGTAGACAATTATCGATTTAAATTATATCTTATTTCTACCATTCTCAACCTGATTGCTTTATAGTATGCAACACACTGAAAATGATTAGTTTTCTCAGATCTATATATGAAGCTACACAACTATAACGAATAATTATCAATTCAATTTTCTCTGTTTATTAGACATTGTTATTTTCTTAAGTAATTTAAATTACATGAGGTGTTGTCTAAACTAGGACTTAAAAACAATACATACCCAATTATATATATATGGGGACCTATTATTTATTGAATGAATTTTCAGTGAAAATAAGTTGATCATCTAAGTTATTTGTCAATTCTTAAATAATTAATTAATTATATACAAACATTTCTAATTGTATCGTCATACTTTTAATTGAATAGTTTGTTCATATTGAAATATTGTTTTGTTTATCTGAACATTTTTTACTAAACTTATTTAGTTTATTTTTAATTTTCATTATTGTTCATTTAATTTAATTAAACTTTCATAATTTTGATATGATACACAAGTCACCTTTTGGTAAATTTACCTAACGCTTAATAGATCCGATTTAACTGGAAAAAAAAGAAGATAATTACTTGGAAAATGATTCGAACAAAAAAAGAATGTTTACGGTATGTATTTCCACATGTACAAAGTTAAAGGGATGACTAGGTGGATATTAAATAATTAACTGCTGGATCCAGTCAGTTGCAACTGATTGTCATCTCAGTATTCATATTCGGTGGAAGCATTCAACTTTCGACCAGGCAGTGACTCGAGAATGTTTAGATAGAACAGAGTTTCCACCATGGGCGAGCTGCTGTATAAGTTGAAAAATGGGGATAGATGAAGTGAGAATAGAGGTATATAAGTGACGTAGTGTATAAAAAATAGTAATAATAATAAGTGAATATGAAATGTCTGAACTCTAATTGGAGCGAACATAGTCTTCCGTGAAATAATTGTCATCTCATCAGATTTGTGTGAGGGCTGTGCTACTGCCCGGGTGCCCAGACCGAAGCAGGTGGTTTTCTTAGGGGGCCACACCCCGAGCCTTTGACCCAAAGGTCTGATCCACAAGGCAGTGGAGCTTCGTAAGGAGATGCAGTCCCATGGTTGCCGATGACCAACGCCTGGTTCATACACTATTGGTTTGGAATCAGGGTTTCCCAACCCCCTAGGTGGACCCTCTGTGTCCACCAACCTTGTTAAAGTGCCGGATTTTCGTTTTCCATTCTCTCAATTTCATAAACAACACCCGTGGTTCGAGAAAGCAATGAGCAGGACTTCCCTGGCAGAGGCTATATGCGCGTGGCTATATGAGAGCATTTCGAGAGGGAGAGCAGACTTTCCCCACTCTCTGCCGTACCAGGGCATTTGGGGGCTGCAACTGATTGACTGGCCTAAGATTGAGCTCTTTATTCTCAAATTCCTTCAACCAAGCTAATATTAACACTAGCCTGCATACAAAGTGTATGCTTTCAGTTCTTTTAACCCTAGGACCTCTATTTAGTCACTATGTATTACATTTGAGGTACCCAATTCAGACCAAACGATGATGGGAATTGTGCGTATACTTTACTCCTTATTTATCAATTGTCATTATTTGAATGATGAACATGATTTTCAATTACGTCATTTTCATTGTCATCATTTGAAATAACTATGATTGCTTTTTTTTTACCTCTGTTACTACCATTGTTTGTAAACAGATTTCCAGAGGATTAATTTATCGTTGAATTACAAACACAATCTCATGCTAAATCATTGTACGAATACAATGACGTTTGTTCACAGCAGATAAGATCCGTTTATTGTAACTTCCTTGCTTTCCTTATTGATCTGAATCCTTAAATTTTGATTATTGTGTGGGAAATTGTAAAATAAAATTTTTAAGGATTTATTTCTGAAAGGGCAGATCCCTATTATTTCGTCCTTTGTAAAAAGTTGACTCTATTACTTGAGAAAATGCACATATTTGTATGTAGCACGCTTCATGCTCGGTGCTCATAGATGAAATAAAGTACTTCATATTTGAAAAGGAAGTAAAAACAATTCAGCAAAGAAAATTTTTCTTTCAATGATATTTACGGAAAATGTACGATTAGTTGTATTTATAGTGATTTAATAAATAAATCTGGGAATGGAACCGAGAACTTTCGGTCTTACAAGCGAGCTCATAATCTCTAAACCACTGAGATGGCATCGAACTGTATTAGTGTAGGTCCAACTTCAATCAGTTCACGATATTGCACAACGCTCATCCATTGCCCCTAGCGGATAACTGCCTTACACCCGACAGAAATGAAACCCATTGGTTACGGCTTCTCACTAGAACTCCATGAGTCGCATTTTGAATCTAGTCACTAGTGAGCAAATGGTTATCATTAGTCTAAAAAGATTTATGAAGATTTTAGAATTTCCACACTACTGAGGAGTCCCATACCAGAACGAAACACCTATTCAGTGCTTCCAGGTTTTTAATGGTGGCCTAAATAAGATCAGTTCCTAATGTAAACTACCAAAAGTATATAGTAGCCTACTGAAAAATAAAAGAGATTATATCGTCACGTGTTCGGGTAAAAGTGGTTGGATAGTGGTCTGAAGGGTAATTTGTGAATCAGGAGTTCAAAACGTAACCTATTTTCTACATAGTGAATGCAAAAACATGAGGCCCAAAATCTGTGTAAACACTTGTTCAATCTTTCTCATAGTCTGTCTTTTTAATCAGCCGTTACTACCCTCTTTCAAGTTTCCATATTTTTTATTCAGTTGTTGTGATAATCGCATTTTACATTTCTTTATATCTGTCAAATGGGAATTTATCATTATTTAAACCATCTCGCAAACACATTGTGATACTTGAAGTTTCATAACACTGCGATGTAATTTCTTATTTTTTAATCGACTACTATGTATGTTTTCATATCTTACTTCGTAGACGCGTCTCAATCAGACAATCCTTAGAAGCCAAAAAGTACTGAACAGCCGTTTCATTTTAGTACAGGGCTCATTAGTGCACAGCTATGGCCCCACCATAGTCAGACTCAGGACCTTCTATCTATTTGCGAGCGTTTAAGCTCTAGACCAGTACTTCTTGGTTTGGAGTGGTTGTCTAACTACAATCCAGTTCGTGATGTAAACTATAGAAATGCAAACGATTATTCAGCTTCAGTAAACGATCTGGTTGAAAAGCATATTTTCTACTCTGAATTGTTTTTATTTCTTCAATAACACAATGGATGAATGCTTGTGTGTGTGTGTGTGTGTGTAACCATTTTACAATTATATCTCCCAATCATAATTTTTTTTGCTTGAAATCAATCCATTAGCATCGAATTATTATTATTATTATTCGTTTGCTTCCTTCAACTACCCCTGAATATCAGCATTAATTCCTTATTTATCCTCCTGTAATCATCTTTGTTTTATGCGTTATTATATTTTTAACAGAGTTCACAACTCATTGAGTATTATTATCATTAATCAAAGTTTCTATTATTATCCTGGAGTATTCAAAACTGATTAGTTCTCTATAAATTTCATACTAATAAATTGTTTATTTGTGAGGGGGTATTATGTTTAAGTTTCTAACTGCGACATACATTTTTAAACTTGTTAACGAAGAACAATTTTTCGATTTTTTTGATCGGTAGTATTTCACTATGAATTAATGTATGTAATGAAAAAAGATTGCAATCCAAGAAGTGTTATACAGTTATTTCGTTATTTTTTAAATTTTCCTCCAGATCCTGAGATTCTAAATTTATCATAACCTTTTTTTTCTTATTCCGCTAATTTATATATTCTGATATTTACCTGACGAATTCATCTCTTTGTTCTGACGAAGTATGACAAAATGAACCAATTTACATATATACCAGGTTCTAGGTTACGACTGACTGACTCGTTCTAGTAATTAGACTCTTCCGTAATCCGTTTTTCATTTCTCAATAACATATTAACTGACATTAGTGTGTAACCAAAACGACTCGTAAATTGTATCAAATTCTCTAAAAACCAGCTAGCTGAACAACTGAGGTCTTCCTTTTGTTATATTACTGAAGAAGCTTTGATTTTGCACATAAGAATGTGGACTAATCACATGAAATCAGTCACTCAAAATTTTGTTATCAATACGATACAATTGCACAGTGAGAAAAGAAAATATTAGTTTATAATACAAAATAGTTTTTCACATGCATAATGATATATCTGTCTCATTGGTTGAGCAATCATGGGGTGCTTTTCAAGGGACATATAAAAATCCAAATTGAGATTTATCCACTCGGCTTTCAGTCGTATTGTTTGTTCAAAGGATTACTGATCCTGTCCGGTTACCCGTCCCAAAGTGGGTAGATGTGGCTCGAAACTCTTACGCTGTTGGTTGATAATCAACTTGTGTAATCATTGATTCACTCCTCAACTAGTCAAAAATACGTTAATGTATGACTACATTTTTAAATTTACTCCTGTAACAATGGAAATACTTTTGCGTCGTATTAAATAAATGTAACTTTCAATAATTTCAATACCTTGAAATCTCTCTCAATTACCTTATTTTTGCTACCTCATTATCAGGTCGATATGAAGATGACTTTGTTGATGAACGTCGTAAATGGTTACAACAATGGTTAACTCGCATGTGTAAACATCCGGTTGTATCGCATAGTTCAGTATTTATTCACTTTCTTACTTGCACTGATTTCAAGGTAAATCATTGTGCGTTATATATATATATATAAACATTAGATATGATTTATTTTTCAAAATTATAGACTAGTTTATTTATAAGTAGTAAAGGTTTGAATCATTCCGTTATTTCATATTCACGACTCAGTCTTTTGATCAGTTTTGTCTGAACTATATGTTTCCTGTGTAGATTGCCTTGATATACCTATTATTCACAATTTTTGTTTAGCATAGGTGAATTGTGACTAAGCAGTGGGATCCATGGTGTGCTTCTCATCTTACTTAGATTTGTCAGTTTGTGTTGATGTACATAATGTATTCGTTTTATTATTATTTAGAAATAAGTGTATGGTATATGTCATAATTTAGTGATATTTATTTTTATATTATCGTTTTATTGAGTTGAATATTCATTGGTTATAGGCACTTGAATTTTCAACCGACTAGGTTCCAAGCTCAAACTCTGCTCTCTATTTACTTCTGTCTAAATGATAGCTTTACATACACACAAATAGTGTGTCTTTCCGAAAAAAAATAAGTTGATTCAAAACTGGTCTGCGTTGACAACTGAATTAAGGATAGGAAGTGAGTTAGTTGAGTGTCTCGACCATTTGACTTTCCTCAAAAGCCTCATCCACTATGCTGGATTAGCATCTAACCATTCAGAAAGCTCTTCCGACTTTTTTCAGCGTGCGTTACTGTTGCATATGCCAGATATCCATCTACCAATCAAAGGGCGAACTTAGTGTGCGGTTGTTCACTCTGTTCTACTTTATGAATATGAAACATAGCCATCATGGAAATAGGACATTTGTAGTTTACTAATATTTGATTATGAACGTCTTCTAGGGGTTCCTCGTAGATGTTGGAACCATTGAGTAGTAAGCAATGTCGAGGTTAGGCATATGGTACTAGGTAAATATGAGAGATCGATAAATAAGGTAATAAATATTCATCAACTGAGATGGTAGGAGTACGTGTTACGTTTGCCCAAGCATCATGATCTACCTTGACAGGTAATGTTGTGTAGTGTGGAAGTAGACTGAAAGAAAGCTAGGAGTAGTCAAAGCAAGATGTTTAATCAATCTACGAAGTCGTTGACAATTGGACTGAGCCATGCTAATAGTTGTAGTCGATGTGGTTGGTATCATTGTGATTATTATAACTACTGGTCAGAGACTTTTGGTAATGTGAATCATTATCGTTCACAATCGTGGGTGTGCATTTTCTCCTTATCTTTCGTGAATCTTGAAATCTTTTAACTTTTCTTGTTTTTGTGTACCTAATTTATTCAGTACCACTTATAGTGTTGCTTCTTGTGCTACTCCGTAATTTGTCTTGGGATGATTTTATCTGCACTAGTCGTATGGCAACTTGAACTGATGCGCCTGAATCAGGCTCTGCATTGCATGTGACCGATTACCCAAATCAAGGATGGGTCCCCTCATAGGAGGGATCACGTCAGTGCTTTAAACTTCAATGTCCTACTCCATAAGTCGTGGAGCAATTTTATTAACCACGAAATTGGATTCGTATCTTCTTCCTTATTTTGTTAATGTGTTAAGACTAGCACGAAACCTAGTTCCGTAAATTTTATTGATTGTCATTAATCCCCTAGCATTAAACATAATACACACGATGTTGAGTCACTTAGAGTAGTGGCCACATTGCTTCAACTCGATTGGTAAAATCTGATCAGAACATAAGACTAAACAAACTACATTGCTTACCGCTCACTAGTTAATAGTTAATGGATGTAAATGTGAATAATTATCCAGTAAAATGAAACTGCATAGGTTACGTGGTACACCTTACCTACTAAAGCGTTTGAAAATTGCCCCGAAATCTTAAACTTTACTACGATAAAAAATTCACCTAGTAGTGTAATACATATATGTAGCCAACATAATCAGTCACTCACGATCAGCTTAGGGTATGCTACAAATATGCATTAGTCCAAGTCGCTATATCACATTAACACAACAGGTTGAAATTAACAAGGAGGAATTAAAATAATTCATCAATGATTATAAAAAAGACTGAAGGTCGAATGTTTTTATAAAGGGATACTGGAACTAAAGATCTTGAATAAGACAGAAAGTGTATGCACCTGGTCTGTTATGAGCGGTTCTGAGCCATGTTACATAACATCTCTGGATATAAGTTGCGGTTATCGTGCATATCCCCCACCAGGTGGTCTAGATTTGCTAACATGGCATAGATCAACGGTGGATGACTTCACAAAATAATGTCACCGTCTGGTTTCTTCCAATCTACCTGTATACCAGTCAACATCGTCCGTCGAGATAAGTAGCGCTTAGGTTTACATAACTTATTTCCTAACCATTTTAGTCTAATTCATTAGTAAAATTTGTGTATTGACGGGATACATATTGGTAAATTATAATATGTAGTTTTCGTTTATCGTTTTGTTGTATAACCTCACCTCATTTATTGTGTTTCCTTTAAAAATCTAGAAGTGGAAATTAGGCAAACGTGAAGCAGAAACTGATAAATTACAAGGTGTACGTTTTTATTTTGCAGTGGAATCAAGATGTGGACAAACACCTCATGACTATACGTGAGTTTTCATTCTGTTCGGAAGATCCCATTTTACCCAGTTTTGGTAATCTCAGTGTCAATTCTTACATGTAACGATAACCGCTATTGCTTTTTACGGATTGAGATTTCCTCACGACCCTCTTCCTGTTCTGATTAGCTGTCGTTACTTTTAGTTCGCTAATGTTTCGTGCCTTAAGGTCGTGTTTTTGCTACTGCATATACAGGGCTGTTCGGTTTCAGTTTCTCTTTGTTAAATATCAAGTTTCGTTTGTAACCCTCCCTTCCTCGGTCCAGCGTTAAGAATTATTATTTCAGTATATGTAGTATATAAGTCGCCTTAAAGTCATGTTCGCAATAGTTTCCTTTCGTGTTGAAGTAATCTCAATCGTTTCTGTAAATTCATAATCACTGTAAGCCCATTTATAATTGTTTGTTGAGTATTCACATACTTTCCTTTTGTGAAATTTGTTAATTGCGTCTAGTAATAATGAGTCCAATGCAAAGTAACGATATTTAGAAATGAATTTACCAATCCCAGTATGATAATGATGACTTTTCATATTACTGAATGGTAGTATATGTATTATACGGTGTGGCTCAGTTCCTTCTTGTGTTTATAAAGCAATTTTGTTGTCTCAGTTTCCAGTTTGAATAATCTATTGTATGAGGGAGTGACTTGGATGCTTAAAAGCTAGTTAACCTAGCATATTCCTTTTTTGTTATAACCAAACATTTTTACAGGGTGCTTGCAACATTAAAGTTAATTCCTTTTTCTCTTCTCAAAATTATCTCCTGGTTTTATTCTCTAAAACCTATTCTGGTTCTAATGCAGTAGTAACTGTATTCGTCCGAAACTTGCTACCTAACTGTATGTATTTGTTACTGTTATCAACTTTTGAAATTCTTACCGAAATAAATTTCTGAGTAACAAAGGTTTCAGTATTTAAAGTCAAATTTCTTTTTCTAAGATACACATAAGATCCAAGTGTGCTAATACTTCCAAAGATGGTACAGGTTCTATACATTATAGCGTTTTAATGTTTGTGTATCCAGTAGCCAGTTCTCAATGATGGGCAAAGTAGGGACAACACCAAGTTTACATCTGTAAAGCTCAATAATCAACTGAATCCCACTTTTCATCCCATCTTCAGATAAACGTACGTGAACTACACCTTAGTTATATTCCAAACTGTGAAATCAACATCCAATCTTTTGTGGTTAAATGTCTCTCTCAATCGTTGAGTCATTCATACTTCCCATGAAAACACATGCGTGGTTAGGAATTACTGCCATATAATCGGATTCTCTAAACTGAATGGTTTAATTACGAAAATTTCATTGTTGTTTCAGATTGACAATTTTTCTAACTGAACGCTTGAATCAGTTTCCTGAGCTTCTCTAATTACCCCAGGCTAAATCTACACGAAAACTTGAACACGTGAGGAAAGTCGCTAAATGTGAAAAGAACGCTTTACTCTAAGATTAGTTTATATACAGAAAATCGGGGGTATTTATATCATTTCAGGTAGCCTTGGGCTTCTGAAAGTGTCTGCGACCATACTAAACAGTAACAGGATAGGTATTCATCCATTCAGAAATGTGACACGTGATACTTCACTCTGTAGATGTTTCTCAGAAACTCCTGTTCAATGCCCATTCGATTAAATGTTTCCCGGCGTTTTCAGGGTCCTTCTGGACTTTTCGAGGAATGCTTAGAATCCCCCAACACTTTTTGGGAAGTAGAACTTCCTCCTTGAGTCTACTTGCCTCATCCTATCTCCCACGAAACTGCTTTCATTATGGTCTGATAACAGCAAGGTGATTCTGTCAGACAACCAACATTTACTGGCATGTCGTCTTGCCAAAATAAGAGAGAGGTAAAATAGGTCGGTTCTACAAATACCACATCTCACTTTGCCCTATGGGTTTCCATCACCAGAAGTAGGACCCAACCTTTAATTCACCGCATATGACCGATGTTGTAATGCTCCCAGGTCGTCAAGACCTATGTTTTTTTCATGTGGTTTAAAAACAATTACCTTCTCATCATTAGGACAGGCTCGAAATGACAATCACCCCTATACTTTTAACATCTTTGGAGACCAAATTGTTCAATTTACCATCTTTTTCTCATTATAATATTCTCCTTTCTCTTATCCATCAATCTTGTTTTTTTGCTGTATTATGAAAATTCAGGGTTGAAAAAGCAGAAACAGCTGAGCGATTCTTAGCTGATTTGGATAGATCAACTAAATTTCTATGTGAAACAGTTGTTGAATATCATCGAAAATTAAGTATTAGTAAGCTGTTGTTTTCGTTGTATTGATGTGTTCTAAGAATTTATATTCATTGTATTTTTTATTTTATCAAGAGCGCTGTTTATTAAAATAGTGTTTTCTCCAATTTTGAATACATTTTAAGTGTTTATTAATGAATTTTCACTACAAATGAACATCGGTATGTAAGAAAAGTTAGATTCCACTAAATTTAGGACTTTTCAACAATGTCCACACGTCGACGGTCACTTTTAAGTCAACTGATAAAAGTACTTATCGTAAAACATATCTGTTATCTGTTATTGTCTCCTTTATTGGTTACTTAGTTGCTTCCCTCTACTGCCTGGCACTATATTTTACATTGCAAGACTTTTTCTCATATTCCGTTTAAAATAACTCCAACCGATTTCGTTAATGTCATATCTTCTACTCTTGTACACCTTCAACACAACGCTTCATTCGACTCTTCCCAAATCGGAACAAAACTTGAAATGGAACAGTGTAAATTCTAGTAATCCCGAACAACAGAGTTTGTAAAGGTTATGCATGAGAATCTAACATCTTGATTCGTCCATCGGCGTTGATCGATTTCAAAATCTGTCAATCAACTTATGTCACTTTGAACCTGACAAGAATGTGGCAATTTCAGCACTCTATCCAGCTAACAGTCAGGAGGTGACGAACTTCATAATATAGTTACTATCTTACCATATTTCATATTCATCATTATCCAAGCTGTTTATTCCAAAAAAATATTATAAATTCGTGCTTTAATTACATTTTATCACATAATACTTTTTTACATAAATAATGTTGATTCTTTTCATGATGAATTCAAAAACCTCTCATATTGCCCACTTGACCACATCATTTGATTATTGAAGTTCACTGATGACCCATTCATTGAATGCCTATCTGACCAATGACTTCTTTGACCAATAATACAAATGACCGTGAATAGTGATGGAAAAACCATAACTGATTAGTTCACTTGCTTTTACACCAGTTACACGATCACAATGGACTAAAAATTAGAAATCAAAACATTATGTATAACTAAGTCATATGTGCTACAAAACTGTGTTATGGGTTCATAATTAGTTAACGATAATTTAGAAATCGTGTAATAACAGTTATTATGAATGGATTGTTTAAAGTGCACAATAAAAATATGTATAACATTTTACTGTTAGACAGTTCCAAAGGTTTCATTTCCCCCATTTCTACTCTCTCCAGTCTCTAACTAATCATTCATTGTTGATTGTATCCACCAAAATATACGATAATGACATTTTTTGTCTTATCTATGGGTTGTTTCGTTTCTTGTGTTACATTCTCTGAACAAACATTATTTTACTTTTTGTGTATACAGATTATTTGTGTCATCCTTCATATTTGTTCATTAGATCTTTTATTCCCGTCTTCCTTCTCTCTCTGTGTGTGTATAGGTATTCGTAAAGAATTTTCCAAACTGTCAATGGCTTTTCTTAACATGAGCAAAGCTATTGAATCGGATGTTCATACAAGTACGATTGTTAGTAATGAGCATGAAAATTTAATTACCCATTTTGCTTATTTTTTATTCTATTTATTGTTATTGTCATCGTTATAGCATAATGATTAATTAGAGAAGAGACTGTGCAATATTGTTTCTTCGATTACACTTGTCATCAGAGCTGCTCAGTCATATTGTGCTCATTAACATAAGCAAAAAAGGATGGGAATATCCATACTTCACAAATTCTTGACAATGACCCTTGTATTATTTATTCAAAATGTTTCCCTGTAGGTCATTTGTATACATTCGTTGATAACAATTTGAGTGATATCAGCAATAAAGACACCCACTGTAAATTCTGAGAATTCCAGTCCAATATTTGACAAATACAGTTCACACCTCCATTAACTGAATGATGAACTGAAATGTCAGTGCCTACAAAACGTTTATTTTATTAGTCAGTGACAAGAAATGTATTGTGTTAGCGGAATTTTATGTTCTCTCTTAATCCTACCGAAATTTATTATAAGTATTCTTTTCAAAGATACAAACTCTTGATTCACCATTTTTACTAATAACACATTTGTTTAATAATTTTAAATGGAGCCTCCTGAAGTTTTAAAATATGTCGCATGACGTTTTCACAATTTCTTAATTAACTCACTAGTGTTTACACTGTAATTTCAGTATTAAATTATTGCCATCATCGTAATATATTAGTTAGTACTTCAATGGTTAAACATTTACTAACTTATCCTTGTAGTCACTTTTCCGCACTCGACTAAAACCTTGAGTTTTATATGTCTTTTGTATATAAACTTTATTTGAATTTGAAAATTAGACAAGATAAATGGATTAACTACTCGAAGAATTGCATCATTTATGAGTAGAATGACACTGGGTCTTTATTTAAAAGCCCAATTTTATATTCGTCAAGTGTTGTAGATTGTTTCCAACTAATTGGTCGTATATTTCTGTATGTGTAGCAAGTGATCCATATTATTGATTGGTTGAACAACTCTTAAATAATGCTATAAACTATTAATTGACTGACATAAAATCTAAGCTGTTTGATTTATCATGCTTTTGTTTTGATGATTCAGTTAAAATATTTTTTACTATTTAGCAGACAATGAAATTCAAGACTCACGTAACTGTCCTATTTGTAATTTGTTACGACTGGATGTATTTGTATCCCTGAGATTTGAACCTAATACCTTTTTTTGCTTCAAACACGAAAGCAGTATTCATTAAATTTATGTAACCACTAAATTGTACAAGCTCTTGCTAATCAATCGAAATAGTTTTATTAACATATTCACATGCAGAGAAAACACTTTATTTCCATTTCAGAACAATTAAATACAAAATTATGCTCCTCACTAGCTACTACTGGCAATACATTCAGAAACGTATCATGTATCCATGCAATCCAGGTAAATAAGCTACTATTTTTTCATTCCTATTGAAAACGTTTTGCCGACATTAGTCTGATCTGTAGATTGTAGTCGTTCCAATCTGACCTCAGGTTACAATTGAAAATTTGGAAGTACTAAACAGCCGTTTTGTCCTAGTACATGGGAATCTTTAACAATATCTATGCATAATCTAATCAAGGATCAAACCAAGGACCTTCAGGTGTTTTGTCAAACACTGAATCATTAGAACCACCAGTTCACCGTTTGATCGTACAATTCCGACTTTAATCACTTTGTGATACAAATCCATGATCATCTAATCATATTATTATATATTTGAATATCAATAAAGCGTTCGTTTGCAAAATTCGTAGTCTTCTGTTCTGGATAACCGGATAACATCTTACTAGCTCACACAGACAGTACATAAAAGACCTGTAGTTGCGAAAAGGAAAAACAAAATGTACGCTATGATTCAAGTTATAAAGATGACAAGTTTTTTCGACATCACTCATTCAAAATTGTCTTTATGAGTGAAGTTGATAGGAATTATACAAATAAATCCTTAAGTAAAAAGCATATATACTGTACACATTGATGTTATTAGTATAGAATAGAAATGAAAGCTACGTACTATTGTTACTTATTGACGCCGTACAAAATAGTCACTCTCAAAATCAGTTTCATAAGACAAATATGGTATAGAACCCAGTTAAAGGATTGTATAGATTGAGCAATGAACAGTAACCAATCGCACCATGTTAAAAATACTCAGATTATATGTAGAGAACAAGTAAAATGAGCCAGGTGATTGATAAGACTATAAGTTGTAACGTACTGAGAAAAATGTGTCAGTATAGGCGAATTAATCAAACCACAAAGTGTGTTCAGAGTTTGAACTTACAATTCACACAATAGTCGTAGTGATGAGAGACGTTGGATAACATAGACTGAAATCTATTGCAATGACACACTGATTCATTTTCTTTCTTTCATTTTTGAATTCAGTGTCATTCTAAACTTTCCATCCTAAGATATCGTTTATTCATTTCTAATTGGATTTCTCATGTCTAGATTTGCATTTGATTTTAAATCAGTTAGTCCCCTTTGATTCTCGTCTTGTTAATTTTCTGTCTCCGTGTACCTACTAGCGTTGCGATTCGAACCGACAACCACTCATGTCAAACCGAGGGTTGATAACTGACTGAATAGTTTTATACAGTACATACTTGCTCTACCAAAATGTACATAGTTTATTGCATGTTGTACTTTGTTGGATGGTTGGAGGTAATTGACAATAAATACCTCAGTACTACAGGAGGTGTGCAACTGCATGACGTAAGTTCGAACCCCATTGGAAACATCAGATCTCTCAAGATTATACATACGCTATAACTGACGAGTGCCATCTAGTACGACACTCGGATTAAACAGGGTTTTCTTGTCGACCATCTTTAACTACTTAACACTAAAACATAGTGTACGTAATTTTGAGTCAATTAGACTAATAACATTGTATCTGTATTGATAGAGTTCAATAAATACTAGGGATTAGATAAACGTGATATAAGTCACTTACTGCTCAGTGGATATTGGTCAGTTAATTGTAAATATTCAAATTTTTTGGTTCATTTCCAGTCAGAAGCAACAATCAATCTTCAAGAATGCTTAAAGGAATTCACTCGTCTACTGCCAAATACATCGACTATTATCAGTTTAGCTAAAGCTGCATGTCTTACTGTTGATGAATTAAATCGTTGTAATACCGATGAACAAAAAGTGTGTCAATCCGATGTGAATCGAATTCAATCTGGTGCATTGTTGATTACACGTTCTGTTCAATCTGAATGTAATTTAATTATGAGTCAAATTCGTGATGAATGGATGAATAAAATCAAAGACTATCTTTATGATCAAGCACGTTTTTATCATCAAATTGCGGAACAAATAGAACGGGCTGCTCAATCTTTTGAAATCGACTGATCTCTGTCTATCTATCATATAATATATATGTATCCGCGTATTAACACTCATAATACTAATATTAATATTGTTACTGCTATAAACATTTACAGATTCATCAACCATATATATATATATATATTATTTACACTTCTCAATTATTACTTACCTTCGCACACTACTCTTAATCATATATTATTTTCGTATTTCAATAATTACCCATCACAGAGCATTATTAACTCATCCCTTCTTGTTTGTACAATCTTCCGAAGTCTTTCCTTCCTTCCTTCCTTCTTTTCTTTCCCATCATTTCTTACTATCCATGCTACTTACTAGTCGTGTGTGATAATTTAGTATTAAGTTTCTTTCTTACTTTTGAATTGTTTTCTTGGTTAATTTTTTTTTCTATTTGGTGATTTTTTTGGAAATAATTTTTAACGGACAATTATAGTGATTGATTTATTATTATTATTTTTACTAAAGTGAATTGTAATATTTCATTATACCATACTACTTGTGATTCCAATGTCTTCCATTTCAAATTAATATTACAACATAGATACTAATGTTCTTTCTCATTTTGATTCTCTTTTAGCTTTTTAATTAGTATCATTTGACAAATATGTATTATACTTTATAATATTAATTGAACTTTGAACTATTTATCTTTCTATGTATGACCCATGCACAGAGATAGAAATATCTGACGATTGTTTTTAGTTTAGTTTTTTTTTAATGTGTGACTGATCTATTGCTCAAAATTTATATTTTTAAAAGCTAAAAGAATTCTACAACGATATGACTTGTATATCCTTCCTTCTTTCCATGTGTTTACTATTCAAGTTACTAGTTTCATTTTATAACATTGAAATTTATCGTATGGTTCTATTCCCTTAGCGTAGAGAATGGTGTAATTTCGTGCCTTAATAGGCTATATTTACCGAGTCCTATAATATTGCGTATTATTGAATAGTCTGAGCTAGATGATTTCATCGCGAGGCTTTCGTGCGCCTTCTGGATATCATCAACGCATCATGTAGAGGTGAACTTTCTAGTTATTTTACAAGCGTAAAGTTAGTTTGTTCGTGTGCTCCTGTTTATGGCGGCTTGTCTTCGTGGGTTTTTTGTTTTGAATTCTCCCTATACTCAAGTTAACATGAATGATCCTAGTGCCATGCTTCTAGAAGTTTTCTGAGATTCCCAAAACTCCCTCGTCTAATAATTGTGTTTTCACAGTTGAATGCTTGTCCGTGATTGTCTGTATCCATTGTTATCAGTTATAATATATCATGTTTTACTGAACGTGTGTCCATGTTTGTGCATATAAAGCGGGTGTCTGACTTGTCGTTCAAATGCTGGTTAACTCCATTAATTTTATGCTTGTGTCTATAGTATTCTTTAGAAGACAAGCGGCGGTAACAAGAAATTGTTTGCGAATTCTGGCTAGTTTTACAAACATTTCTCACTGGTACATGTAGACAGTCTTCTATTTGGATTAGTTTAGTCCTTGTTTGATTCCCACTAGTAGTCAAGATGAGTTTAGAGCTTCAAGTTGCATTTTTTTAGTGACGTTCCTATTCAGTGTACTTTCCCATTTAATATAACTTTAGAACAGCTATTATTTCTTTCAAGAAATGGTATTGTTGTGATATCACAAGATTATCTAATCTGCTGAGGGAGTATTCATTCAGATAATACTTTTCAGTACGTCATGATTATTACTCTAACCTCCTTGTTTAGTTTACCATTTTTCATCACTTTATCCAACAAAATTATCAATACACTATTACACACACATCGATTAATAATTCTTAAGGACAAATTTGTGTCAGTCACGCTAATATTTCAACAACAATCTGTTGGCTAATGTATTCCAATGTCTCAGGCGAAATGTTTCCGAAAAGAGGGATGTCTTGAGTAGATGACACGGTACCACCGTGTCTTAAACATCACAAACGAATAAGCAGTAGTTGATGGGTCATTGTAAAATAGGAATTTCTGGATAGAAGGTATCGTTGGCTATCCCAACATCAAATATTGAATTCACAAGTCTTGTGGTAAAGCAAATAGATTGATTGATATAATACTTGCTTCAGTTATTACTATTATGGAAGTCCTGTATGTCGAATATTAAGCATTTTCTCACATTAAAGAACTGAAGTACACTATAAAGGGACATTCTCTTTGGTGCCTTTTTAGTTATCAGTAGTTTCGGGTGAACTTGTAAAACACACCAAGGGGAACTGAATGCTGGTGAATGGATTTCATGTTCTGAATGATGTGATCAATTAATTATAAGGTTACTTGGAATACAATCAATATTTCAATTAGCACAATTTTGTATAAACACTCGTGCTATTTATATAGTATACAGTCTGGAAAGCTCTATCCTATTACAACATAAACACGTATGAATACATGCCAGACCAGTTTTGTTTTAATTTATGTTGTGCATAATAGGCAACACAAAATATAACATGTGCGTACAATCATAAAATCCATATGAAATCACCTAATTTACTATTCAGAATAAAAACGTTATTTTGATTCCAGAATAAATTTGACATGAAGACGATTTTCAGTTTATTACTATAAGAATTTACAGCTGACACAAAATACCTTTGTATGACTTTTGCGAAATAATACATCGCTTATATAGTGGCAAAGCTTCTGAGTTGATGAGTACATCTTTACTCAGTTTTCATGATGTTGATCGATAGGGTACAAGTCAAAGGCAACATGTCGGTTGATATAGTTGTGAATCTTCAACGACTTGTGTAGTTGAGATGTGTTACGCATACTTGAATGCTTCATACCTTAATGGGCCGGTGTAGGAGGAAGCTGAAAACGATCAGGGGTGGCGGTATCAGTCTATGATGTCACTAATAGTTGGCAGGTTCAGATTACCACCTAGTTGGGGTTCGCGTGACCAAAGATTGGATTAATAATCCTATATTTTAATGCAACTAAGAGATCTCTTCAAGAGCGAGATATTGTTTCTGAACAGTAACTTGTGTCCTACCAACGATCAAACGAACTGAGACTTCAACCACAAGAGTATCAGTCTTCAAAGATATTCAACGAATATGGGATAGAAAATAAGTGGGACAGCTTATGTAATTGAAGTATCTTTTGTAGGCCTTACGTACATTACAATTAGGCACGTAGTAAACACGAAGTATTGATTCATAAAAAAATTAAAGATGTCAAAATGATATAAAAGTTGGTTTGAGTTTACAGAAGACATTACGGAAAACTAAATTGGCAGACCTTGTCTAGATTGCTTTTAGGATATCAGAATCTCGATATTCGAGGGAAGCAAGAGGAAATACTTCTCACATGCATTAGTCCTAGGATTATTTAAAAAACCTAAATAAACAGCAAAACAGCAACTACATATTTAGATAGCTTTTGCGAAGGAAACATTACTGTTTTCGATAGCTTAATGCTAAACTGGGATGGTGGCTCAGAAGTAAAGCCATTTGACTTTCAGTCACTTATTCAATTTGTACCCCAACTAATTCGGTTTAATCAACCAGATAGTAGTGTCGTTCAAAGTTATACGCAAATCTGTACTTTGTGAACTGAGATTGAATTCAGTTGACCAGTGTTTATAATATAAGATAAAACTCCGACAAATATGTTCTAGTACCGTGAAACCTAACAAAAGCCGATACATGAGTGTCAGCTAGTTATTATATTATATGGTAGGTTATTAGAAACCAGTAATAACTTCGATTGGTATGAACTTAGCTCACTTTTATGCTATTGGCAATAAACGTTTTGACTAGGTGCTCATCGTTTATACATTATGCATTTCACTGTTCATTCATTTAAGTATTACGTTTTCTCAGGTACCCATAGTAGACGGATATATTTTATCAGTTATCATAAGCTGGAAGAAACTTAACTATGAACATTCACTAACAACAAATAGTCTGATTTCAATAAAGAAACCATTTGTTGTAATTTGAAATTGGTTATTATAATAGCGGATTGCGAACGATCCTATGAATTTTGAACGTGATCTATGAGAGTTGGGGACGTTAGATCCCCAGAACTCACTCGGAAAAGGTTCTAATTTTGCAATTTTATTTTGAAATTATTTGTTCTCGCGCCAAAATCGCTCTCTTCACCTTCATGTCATATTTCCCACTTGGGAGAATCTTAAACGCTATTGGCCCGTTGTGTCTTTCGGTATGCTATTTTCTAACGTTTCCCAAGGACCGTTTTGTTCTGTATATATACGTTTTGATTCGTGTCTGTTGTTATCGCTCGTGCTTCCGGCTTTTTGCGGAATATACTTCCCCGTTCGGACTTCGACTTCTCACTCTGGTTAGCGGGGCTGGGACGCAACAGAATAGCTAGTTTATTGGCCTTTGATCACAAGTCTTTGTTCCGTTCGCAGACTAACTGAAATAGTAATCGCTTCAACATAGCAGAGAGATGGTTGACACACCGGACGACTGAGATACGCAACACATTGCAATAATAATTTCCTGTACGATTGGAAGAGATGTCTGTTATAACAGGGGGTGTCCGAGATCTGGTGATACACATGTTATTCGCTAAACCCCCCAAATGACATGAATAAATACTCATTTGTATATATAAATGTCTACCCTGGTAAAATCAATCCATTTCTCAGCCAACGCCATGCACTTGTTTTTCAAGAAATTTCGAGTCGGGATCAAGTGACCTCATCTGGCTACTTTTGAGTGGTTCGCCATATCAACCTTGTAAAAAAATTAAATTACATTCAAGTAAGTTCCGGTTTTACATAGATTAAATACAACGATAAATACTTACATTTATCAAAGTGAGTAATTGCCTCTTGAGCACAAAATCATAGTGTGGACTAATTACTACAGTGAAGATGGATTCAAAAACAAACTTCTTACTGTTTGAAATGGTTTGGATTATCACGTTATCGATACTTTGACTGAAATTTGATCACTCTTGGTTGGCATGTTGGGCATCCTGTGCGGGCTGTCTCGATATAGCCATTATTACAAAAGTTGATATAGAATTAATGGAATGTGGTTAGCAGTGTAATCCAGAACGGGTGTTACATCCCAGACTGATCAGATTTCAGCCAAAAATGTCAGTATTGGGATAACACAAGCTATATTAAA